TTTATGAAAAGTTTCGATTTTTGTGAAAAGTTGTAACTTTTATGAAAAGTTGCAACTTTTATGAAAGGTTGTGACCTTTCTGATAAGGCACAATAAGCACTTATTAACACTACCATTCATTGTCTATAAATAGAGGGATTTCCCCTCATTTTAAAACAACGAAAATTTTGAACTACTTCTTCTTCTTCTTCTGCACACAAATAAATATTCGTGTACTTTGATGTTGTTGAGTTGCTCAATGAAACCATTATTTTTGTATAAATATACTGGTGAATAGAATCATTATATCCTGACCGGATCAATTCTTTTAACCCTTGGGTACTAGAGGGGAGTAATTTCCTTAAGGGGACAATGTGCATTCAGTGGACTCGATTTTTTCCTTTCTGTTTCATTCTATTGCTATAGATCATGGTATGTTTTTTACAGTCACTAATTTATGCTTATATTATCAATTGTTTTTTTTAGTACATGTTTTAAACTTTGTTGTTTATGTTTATGCTTTTGATCATTATGTAGATATATTAATCAAGAGTTTGTTGTAATCATTAGACTATTGGTGTCATGTAGATTAGAATTCTTAAACTTGTAAAATAAATGACTTTGATCTTTATAGAGTTTTCAGTGGCTAAAAGATCCTTGGGATATCCAAGAAGGGACTTTTGAGTGTTCAAAAGTTATGGTGGTTCCACACTACCTTGGAGTTTTAGTTATTCAACTTTCTATCTTATCGAGGCATTCAATCGATTAGTGACATCAAAAATATAATGGAATGTAGGATTGTAAGTATTGTACTCAACCTTAATCAAAAGTTTGGGGTTCAAATATTGGATTGGAGTCAATTAATTACCCCTCAAAGTAGGATGAATCCATATTAATCAAATATTAAAGAAATAATTATCTCCTTATAAACATTAGATTAAAAGTCGCAAAAAATAAAGTTTTAACCATATTGATTGAAACATAAACAACAAAATATGCCCTGTGGCTATCAAAGTAGTGTCATCGACTGCGAATGATTTTGAATAAGGGACTTGCCAAGACATTATTTAATCCAAATTATTTGAGCGACATACGTTATCCATTGAACTCCAAGAGATGTGTTTTTAAATTTTAATTAACTTATCAAGTGAACAACTAATTATATAAGATGTATAATATTTAGATTATGTATGTAGAGGTCTTGAATAGAAGAAAACTCTCGCAATTGATGAATAAAATGTTTGTACCACCTTTTGAAAATACAAATATAAACAATTAAACAATTACATATCTTTTCTAAAGACTTTGGTGATGAATAGCTAAAGTCAAATGATGAATTAATAACAAAATGCATAAACACTTGGAATCAAAAATATTCTTGACAATTTATCGTAGGGTTGTACCCACTCAAAAATACTCATATTATCAAATGTTCAGAAATAGATTATTGACGTAGTTCACGCGCAGGAAATTTACCTAGTTTATAAATATAATAAAGAAAAATTTCGAGGAAGCAGTGTGGACTGACTTTAATGTAATAGTAGTAGTAGGTAAAGTTTAGTGTCCTTTTTGTTCATTTATTTATTTCTGATTTGTATATGATATATCTGTTTGAAGTTCATAAATCGAATTGACATTGACTCAAGGTGGAAGAAGCAAACATTACACCTATCTTGTGTATAGGCATAGCTAATATGATTAAATATTTTTTCTTGTTACATTCGAGAAGAAGGGGATATGTAATTTACATATTATAACAATTGTAATTTTGAGTTTTTTTTTTAATCTTTTTTTTTTTTTAAATTACTAGGACACTTAGAGGTGAATGGTGAGTTGCTCATCTCAATTCTCACAGATACGACAGCGTTACACTTTGTTCCAGGTAGCTCCCAACTAAAGTTATCCAGTTTTCATATTCATAACATCTAAAAATTAATTTAAAACTTTAAGATATCTTTTGGCATTTCCTCATTTTAATCTATATAAATTCGTTTTTTTGGTTTCATGAGACTCTAATCCAAATTTATTCATTTCTTTCAACAGTTAAAGTAGTAGTGTTTATATCATTTTGTACTATTTGATTTATGCTTTAGTTTGACTCGATGAGAAGACTCTTTAATTTTAATTGATTATGGGAGAAGGTGTAGACAAGAGCTCAGAAAATTATGTAGTAATTCTATATTTCTTTTTCCATCAACATTGTTATGATTAAAGTCTTAAGAAGCATGTGTATATTGTATTTTTTTTTTCTTGTATATATTTTTTGTATGCTTTCTCTCCCTATTAGACTTCTTTAATTTAATTTTCTACGAATTTCTATAATTTTATCAGGCTCAAATGAGTTATTTGTGACTTTATTGTAAGTTTGCTACTACTAACCAGCGTTCAGATTTACCGTTGGTTGCCTATAAGGAATGACTTTTAAACGTTAAAAACTTAAAGGCCTAACCCATCGGTGGCCCCCTAAACTTGG